CTGGTTGTCCATATTCGACCAATGCATTCAATTCAAAGATGATCGGATCTTCATGCTTTGACAAAAAGGTTCTTACCAAGTGTGCTGGACCAAGGCAAGCTAGTTGTTCCAACCAAGGTCATCTAAGGTTTCCATTTTGCAGTGTGCAGAAAAACCTGCATTAATTCAGCTGTCCTGGTCTCAGCATTCTTGGAGTAGGAACCATGAAGCGCTGTGCTCCTGGGCCAAGCAAGCCATGGTGTGACCTCATCATGGATGTTGTGGAGACCCTTATCTTAATTTTTCTGATGTGGTAGTGACGCTAACATTGAGTGGAGTCACTAATCCCTTACCAGCATTGACCAACAGCGAGGAAAATGCAAGTAAGCGGTGATCACCCAGTTCGATCCGTGGTGTTGCCCAACATCCAGACTGGCATGTTGAAAGCTTTGGTGGCTTGGATCATTGCTGAGATTGATCCTAGCTTTCCTGATCCTGAGAATTCTATGCCAGCTTCTTGGCCGAATTCTTCCAACAGAATCCAGGTTATATCAGAGTCATCATGTTCTTTATGATATCATTATCATTGCTGTGGTTCTGGTTGCTAGTCAATGCTAGTCCCTTTCATGTTGTGTCAACAAACATGACTTCAAATAATAAATAAACGAGGCCATGGTTGCCGGGCAAATCTCCAATGTGCCCTTGACAAGCTTGGAATACCGCCAACCAGCAGATGGACTCCCACTCCTGCCTCACTGGAAGTCTGTGGCTGCAGACATCTTCTGGTCAGGGTTTCAGCCCCTCCGCGAGCCGTTCGAGGTCACACTCCAAACAGGAGCAACCGAGAAGACAGCTTCTTGTCTTCCAAAAGTATCAATTGTGTGTGCATTTTCCAGGAGCTGGGAGGTTTTCCATTGGGCAATTAGTAATTAGAAGAACTAAGTTCAATTCAGCTTGATGTGTAATATGCTTCAAGAACTATAGCAAGTTGACTGCTAGGCTAGATGGTGAATGTTCTTAAATCCACATGCAAGCCATTTCCCAGAGAGCCTCTAGATTGACCACATCCGAGGCGTCCTTGGATTGCAAGAAGGGCCTTGGGAGGCTCTCAGCCCTATACTTCGGTGTGGTGTGGAGCTTCTTGAACAAGGACTTGGTCACAGGGTCTGAAGAGGTCAAAGATGACTTCAAAAGGCCAAAAATGGGCAAACGGCATATTTGTGGTCATGTCAAATAGTGATTTCCCATTAAAACATGGAATCATAGGAGAGACTTTGCTTGGTGACAAAAGGGATGATCATGATGACGATTGATGATGATGATGATGATGATGATGATTATGGCTATGGTTCTGGTGATGGTGATGGTGATGGTGGTGATGATGAGGATGATGACGATGATGATGATGATGATACATGATACATGATACATGATACATGATACATGATGATGATACATGATACATGATACATGATACATGATACATGATGCATGATGATGATGATGATGGTGATGGTGATGGTGATGATGATGATGATGATGATGATGATGACGATGACGATGACAATGATGATGGTGATGGCGATGATGATGATGATGATGATGATGATGATGATGGTACATGATACATGATACATGATACATGATACATGATACATGATACATGATGATGATGACGATGACGATGATGATGATTATGATGATAATAATACAGTAGGTGATGGTGGTGATGGTGATGATGATTGAATGATCGATGAATGATGATGGATGTATGATAGATGGTTCAATGACCGGTCATTGGTGCTTGGTTGTTGTTGTTTCAAAACATTGTTTGCCTGGTTTGCATGGTTTGCCTCTCTAACATGGGCCATGTAGAATATATACCCTGTAAAACATGATCTGCCAGATTATATTCAAACTTAACAACATGATCTGCCAGATTATAACTTAATATGCCAGATTATATTTAACATAATCTGCCAGATTATATATATCTGAGACACGATAATCTGCCATGATATCTCTAACACAATCTGCCAGATTGTCAGAATGTGACAGTCTGGGTCGTCCTTTCCCCCCAACAAGGCTGCCACTCCAAAGGGTGAAGTTTAGGACCTAAAGTTCGTCCCCTGAGATGATCTGGAAACCTAAGTCACTCAAGTCAGATAGTCTGGGGCTAGGTGTGAGGTGTTCTGGAGGTGATTCAGCATAGTCTGAGGATGTCTGTGAATGTCTGTGGGTATGCAACCAGGTTCTCGAGAATGGTACACAAATAGTCTGGGAGGGCCAGGGGGTGAACCTTAGGACTTAAAGTTCGCTCTCTGGCTTTAATCATGTGTTCCTCAAAATGGGTCTCGCAGATTGTCTTTGGCAGCGTGTTCTGAGATTTGTTCGTCACAACTGAGCAACCTGCAATGTAAAGAATCCTTGGCCAGCCTGCCAGGTGGGTGGAAACCACGAAGATGATTGCAGTCTTTCTGGGAGAGGAGGCTGTTGAAACCAACTATTTGTGGAGGAGGATGCAGACTTCGGAACAACAAAGTCAGCGGCAGAAAAAGAACTGTTTGCAGAAAGCCCTTACTTTTGCAAAGCGTGCAACAGACTTGCTTCCTCCACTTCGTGATCCAAGTGGCAAAGATCGACTTTTGGCATGGCAGAAGGCTGTGGCGGAGTACAACTCTTATGGAGCAGCTGTTTCCAACCCACTTCTTCGGATCAGTGATGACCACGCTGAACAACTCTTCGGCTTCAGCGTTTCCTGATTTAATTACAGTTTAGTTATTCCACCCACCTATTAGTGGTTCATTTCCTGGCTGGTTTGACCTTGACAATGGACTCCATGGAGTCTGCTTTTCCAACCAATTTGATATAAATCATAGGATTTGGTGAGGTCTGCAACAATTACTTCCAGTTACCCACAAAAACAAAAGCCTGCCTTCATGTGACTCTCCTTGATTTTGGTCACCTGATGTGTGCAACCTTGGCGTATCCCAGGTTGGTGTGAGCCAAGAGTGCTGGGCTATGCTAGAGGATCACCTGCATGCCTACAAGTGGGAGGGGTGTGCCTTCTCTCAAGCAACCATCTTAGATGGGAGGTGGCTTTTGGGAGGCGCTTCACGGGTGTCAAGTGCAATGTGGCATGACATTCTAGCGGTGGACCATGGAAAGCAGAAGCTTTTCTTGGAGAGTGGCTAGGCTTCAAGAAACAAAGTGTTGGTGTGCTAGGATTATACAGTCGTAATGCCTGATAATGACCATACAATACCAGCTACAACAACATACAGCCTGGTATTAACTTGCATGCTGATAATGTTACTGTTATAAAACTTAAAGTTTATTAGATTTTGCACCAGTCACCCACTGGATCCAAAAGATCTGAAAATCATGCCAGCAAAAGTTGAACGACCAGTGTGCCAACTTTAACTTGGCCAACCGTTTGCCATGAACTGTTCTTTTCGTTCTGACAGCTTCTGTCTTTGTGCCCTCTTAGGAATCCTGAGCCTCCATGCAGTGACTGTGCGACGTGCTGGGAGCCGAACCCTGGTGCGTCTTCCATTGCCTGAATGGACTGCAGAAGTAGAGTACTGCTGCTTTTTGGGGTGGGTGAAACTCAGCCACAATCAGTCAGCCATGAATTTAACCATGAATCTTATGGTTCAGCATGCTCCGCCCTCCAGGGAATGAAGTTCAATTTGGTTTGGCCCTTCTGTGTAGCCTTCTCCATTAGTCTGAGGATTGGACAAATGGTTTCAGCCACGAACGCCCTTGGTGGAAAGCTGTTTGATGATGACACCATCGCAGCAATCCGAAATAGATGCATCGAAGGGTTCCCTGGCATGGTAGATGGAAGGGCATCATACATTTGACATATCAATATACATATCATACTCCGATGCCCTGTGAGCCTTTCCTCACATGCTGCTAACTTTTGAGTCTTTGACATCAAATGTGGTAATTCTTGACACCAATGTATCACTAAGGGACTTTCACTCTGAAGCCAAAGAAGTGCTGATCCTCAAGGACCCGACCTTCCATCCATCGTACATGACGTGCTGGAAGGAAAGCCTGCCAGAAGACACCCCAGCAGTTCAGGTACCTTTGCCTCATAAACAGAAACACCAGTGGTTCAGCAACAACATGTGCTGACAGAGAAATCCACCCAAAATTGGTATTGCTTTCACATAGTTTTGCATTACTGTTTCCTCTTTCACGGATGGTGCTTTCGAAGCCGCTGGTCAACAATTGGAAAACCTATCGAAGGACGCCAGAAACTTTGGCATTAGATTAGATCAAACGAATCACAAGAATGCTCCATTTGATGGCCATGCTACTTGTCCATGTCCATTGAATTATCTTGACTTCAAATCTGATAGAATCTATGGTCCTGAATTTCCATGTCCCTAAGATTCCTGAACCATTTGGTTTGTTTTGCTGTTGTCCTCAGCTGGCCCTTTTGTTGCTTCTAAGGAAAGGCAGCGTTTGACCGTGACTGTTTGGCCCTGGTGTGTGATGTTGCCACGCTTGGCAAGTTGATGCAGGCTGAGGACCGGAACGAGAAACTTGGTTACCAACTTTAAACTGTCAAACTTGTAGAGGAATCCTAGCAACCAAGCATTTTGTTTATCACCATCATCATCGATCATCATCGATCATCAATCACCGTCAATCATCAATCACCAATCACCAATCACCAATCACCAGCCATCAATCATCAATCATATCCTCTTTGCAAGGTTCCATCACAAACTGCTTTGGCATTGGGGTGGGTGATTGCAACTTCAGATTGTATGCTGCAAAGTTTCTTGCTGAATACCTAAGGAAAAGCAAGAGGGCCGCGAAGGTGACACACCTGAAGAACCAAAACACAATCGGCGCTTCGATTGTGCACAACTACATGAGCCAGACCATGAGTTTCATGTCTACCAAAGATGGTCCTTTGGGCCCTGCAGTTGACAAGGCTAGCAACTTGTTAGGTTTTCTGTTGAATAAAGTGTTCTTGTTTTTGTTTCTTGCATCTTGCAATGCCTTTGTCCATGTGCCTGTGCCAGTTCATGGATGACCTCAAGCAGGGTTCTGCCATCATTGCCGTCATGGACTGCACCAAACTTGGACGTGTGTCTGCCAAAGACTTGGACTTCTACATGGAGCTGCTGCAGCGAACTTTGTTGCGCAGGCCTCAACAAAGCGTTGCACTTGTCACTGCGCCGATCTATGCCTCCGAAAAGATTGGGAATGCCATTCGCTCGGAGGTCAGGATGCAAAAAGCTAAAAAATAAAGTCAAATGTTTTGAGTTGACAGTTCCAAAAGAAAATGTTCTTTCTTTCTTTCTTTCTTTCTTTCTTTCTCTCTTTCTTTCTGGGCAATAGGTATCCTAATGGACAGCGCCCTGCAGAAATAATAAAACAGTGAAGCTCTTCCAAAACAACATTTTGTTGACTGCTTTCCTACAGGTACGAAGGTTCGAAGATAAAATGGATTTCAAAGGATTGGCCAACCATGCAGTTGTGATTCGGATGGATTCGCCGCCATCTTCGAAGCGTGTTCCGCTGGTGTTTCACGCTTGGATCGTGATGGAGCAAGCGTCTGAAGATCAAAACATTTTCAGAGCGTGTCAGCTTCTTCTGGACAGGACAGGGGTCTCCCAAAAGGATCAAAGGCAGTTGTTTTCCAATGTCATTATTCTTTTTGTTGTGTCTGCTTTTTGTTGTTTCGTCATGAGTGATGTGCGACAGGGCACCACGCAGCTTGATTCCGTTCCTCCCAGAGTCCAAGTATGTGGTCCCTGCAGATTCACAAAGCCTTCCGCACACCTCTGAAGGAGCCAGGCTTGTTTTCTTTGTGATGTCACTCAACTACTCATCATCCGGGTGGGAATCATCGGCATAGTAATTAATTATATGATCAGCGTTATCAACATAACATAGGCATCAGGAATCATCATTTTCAGAGGTGGGCAGAATGTTCAAAACAGTTTGTGAAAAGCTGTGTTTCAAAATGCTTCCTGCCCACATTTGACTTGCCTTGACACCAGGTCGCTGAGTGAGCACCAGGAATCTGCCCAGTACCTTGCAGGGGAAGATTTTCCTCAAGCTATCCTGCAGGGTCTTTTGTGCAAAGCAGCTTTGCCGGCCAAGTCCATTGGACTAGTCAACCTGACACCCTATGATCTTCATTGGGAACGCATGTGCCTGTCGTAACTTGGCCAGTTTGCCTTTTTGTTTACCTCCATCTCTCTATAGCTGTCTCATGGTGTGGTCTTTGTAAACTAGACTGGTTCACTAAACTGTTTCACTAAATATCATTCAACAAATACTGACTGACACTTGAGGTTGCCAAAGATCATGCCTGGATACAGCCTTCGGTCCACCAGCCTCAGCAAGAATGCATCGGTTGTGGAGTGGTGCCAAAGGACGATGGCCATGGAGCTGATGGAGGATGGTGTGCCAAACATGTTCAGAATTGTCTCTGGTCGACAGTCCAAAAATCTACTGCAGGTGTTTGTAGATTTGAAGTTGCTTCAACTGAACACTCCGGAAAAGAAAGGTACCAAATACCAGAATATGTTAATCCATGTTTGGGTGATCAAAGTTTCGGTGCATTCCCTGCAAGGCATGGAAGGCAGCATCGCACCCAATGGGGCAGGTCAGGGCATACGAAGCCCAGCCGGCTGAGATCCCAGACCAGTTCAGCTTGGCCGACTTCACCTTCAAGTTGGTGACTGTGGAAATGGTCAACCAAAAGGCCAAGGATTTCAGTGCCAAGTACAAGTTGGGTCTTCCTACTTCTGTGCGGGCAAGATTCTAGTTGACAAAATTTGTAAGATTTTGAGTTCACCGTTTGCTCTTTACACAGTCCAATTTCAAGAATGCAAAAACCATCAAACTGAGCCATAGATTTCAATACACTTGACTTCACATGGGTCTGTTGACCCAGGACATGCTGATGATGTCATCCATGGTCCGGAATGGAGAGATTTGGTGAAAGACTTTGATGCCAAGCAACCCGGCTCTCAATAACATATAATGCAGCACAACATGTGGACTCTGGGGCCCCCGGACTCTGGACTCTCTTGATTGCCCATTTATTTCAAAACCTTCCCATGCCAGCCTCAGGTTTGACAAGAACGTCATCAAGCAGACCATCGCAATGCAGCCCTCACCGCAACCAGTGGCAACCCCAGAGCTTGTCCCATGGACTGGGGAGCCCCAGACGGTCGACCAGTTGACCAACATGTATGTCGTGGAAGCAAAAATTCCAGGAAGGACTCCTGGTACCACCCTCTTTTTGGTATCTGCGACCAACCGATCTGGAAAGATTGAGTCTTGGATGTGAAAATCACACTGCTCAATGATTCTACCCCCAATGGGTTTTATTAATTTTGTGGCTACATCTTGGCTGTTTGGCCTGACATGAGTAGACTTGATATCCCATGAAACTTATGGGCCATTGAGCTAAGGAAAATGCACTCCCTGATCAGCAGTGGAAGCTGTTCCTGGTTTCTTGGTTTCAAATGCCGCCAGCAATCCAATAAAAACAAAATTTCCTGTGAAAGGGGTCCTGGCCTAGAAGCCTCCAAGATTAATTTCGACCGAGTTTTTGCCTTCGTATGAAAAAATCGGTCGAAATTAATCTTGGGGGCTTCGCGCGCATAAGGAAATCTTGTTTAAATTCACCATCATGATGATGATGATGATTATTATTGATGATGATGATTATTGATGATGATGTTGATGATTAATTTTGTTGTTCACACATGTCCCATCACTTGCCGATCCAGCTAAGGTTGCGCACGTCGGAGTCTCCCTCGGCATTCAGGAGTTTGTCCTGGCTCACGGAACTTCCAGGTTCCTACGGCCTGAAAAGGTCCAAGATTTGAAAAGGAGGAAGTCAGGAGCCGACTTGAGACCTCCTGTTTTGCAACATGATGAGTGCTATCAACAAATCCAAAGACTAATGTTTTGTCGCACTGCTTTGCAACCATGAGTTTGAGAAAGTGAATCAAGTGGAATTGAAACTAGTAACTAGCAACTAGCCATTTGGCATCAAGCACTTCCGAGGAAAAAGTCCTGGAGTGTCAGGTGTTCAGGCTGATTAGGGCCTGGGTAGAGTGTTGCAGCGCTTGTCCAATGGCAAGCAAGCTTGAAGCGCTTTTGGTTTCACATGGCTTCAACCAGGACACATTGGCTCTTCTTATCATGACATCAGTTTGGTCCATCAAAAAACCGATATTTCTCCCCTGTTGTGAGGATTTCGATGCCCTGGCTGCTGAAGACTCCAGTATGATTACAACACCGCGCTGCAAGCAAGCTTGATTCCCAGAATCTTCAAATGACATTTGATCAGTTCGATAAGTTTGATTCCTTGAATCTTTCAAATGCCATTTATGTAATGATCAGTTCGATAAGTTTGATTCCTTGAATCTTTCAAAGGCCATTTATGTAATGATCAGTTCAATAAGCTTGATTCCTTGAATCTTTCAAATGACATTTATGTAATGATCAGTTCAATAAGCTTGATTCCTTGAATCTTTCAAATGACATTTGTGTAATGATCAGTTCAACAAGCTTGATTCCTTGAATCTTTCAAATGACATTTATGTAATGATCAGTTCAACAAGCTTGATTCCTTGAATCTTTCAAATGACATTTATGTAATGATCAGTTCGATAAGCTTGATTCCCAGAATCTTTCAACTGATAAGTTCAAGCACTCCCTCGAACCTATCTTGGGATCCATGCATTCACCAAAGTTGATCTTGAGGCTGCACCGTCACCTGCCGATAGCAGTGGTTCAAAGGAGGACAGCGGTTTCCATGTCATGAGTTAGACTCTTCCTTTTTGAATTGAACCCCATGTACAATAGAGTGTTGGAAGCATCATATCATAACCTTCTCATTCCACATTACTTCCAAAGCTGGCCAGGTTGTGCCAAAGGTAAAGGGAGCTACAACGATTCCTATGACGACTGCTGCGTCAACCCCTGAATCCAATCCCTCAGTGTCACCATATGAAGTCAACAAGTTGGCTGCCATGGTGCAGGATTCCAAGGTCAAAGAGGCAGGTCAAAGAATTGTTTCTTTTGAAACTGGATGCACACAGTTATTTGTTCAACCATTGATCCAATCAAGCTGTTAACTGTCGTTAACCTTTATTTGATAAACTGGTCCTGGAATCTTGAAACAATCTTGAACCAATCTTGAAACAATCTTGAACTTTGCTCCAGCCGTTTTCCCCTGTGCCAGAAAGAAGAAAGGAAGGCGGCCAAGAGAAAGGACAAAGAAGACAAGCAGGATGTCGAGGTTAACCCAAAGGTGAAGAAGGAGAAGGCCAAAGAGAAGGAGGACAAAGAAGACGAGCAGAATGGCAAGGTTAACCCAAAGATGAAGAAGGAGAAGGCCAAAGACAAGAAGAAGGAGAAGGCCAAAGGGAAGGAGGAGACCACTGAGAGCAATGAGGCTGAGAGTGAAGGTTCAAAAGATGCTGAAAAGGAAGCTCAGGCTGACGAGCTTGTTGGCGAGCCATGGGGCAGTGAGGACTCAGCTGACGACAAATCAGAGACTGGCAATGACAACGCAGATAAGAAGAAAGTTGCAAAGAGCGCCAACTTGAAGAAAGAGAAGGCTGAGGAGATGAATCAAGATGAAGATGAGGAGTCTGCAAGCCTAGAAGAAGTAGCTGAGGATGAGACAACCATGGGTTCAAAGATGGTCACAAAGGAGGGATCCGAAGATGAGGAAACAGATGAAGAGGATGGCAAGAAGGAGGGTCCAAAGAAGGTCACAAAGGAGGGATCAGAAGATGATGAAACAGATGAAGAGGATGGCAAGAAGGAGGGCCCAAAGAAGGTCACAAAGGAGGGATCCGAAGATGATGAAACAGATGAAGAGGCTAGCGGGAAGGAGGAGGAAGAAAGAGAGCAAGAGGAGACAGACAAAGATGAAGAAAAACCAAAAAAGAGTTCAGAAGAAGCCTGTGCTCCAAAGGGAAAGGAAAAGACCAATGCCAAGGAGGACAAGAAGCAGGAGGCAGTGAAGACAGCAGAGAAGAGCAGAAGCGAGCCTGAAAAAAACAAGACACGTAAGGAGAAGACCAAAGATGATGGAAAGGTTTCGAGAGTCACACAGGCCATGGCCATGGCTCCAAAAACTGAAAAGAAGACCAAGGATGCTGGCGCCAAGAAACCGAAAGATGAGACAGCAAAAGGAAGGGTGGCCATAGCAATGGCTGCTACACCAAAAGAGCCAGCGAAAACATCGAAAGGAAGCAATGGCAAGAAGGCAAAGGTGAGTGCCAAGGTTGCAGAGAAAGATGACTATCTGGAAAGTGAGGAGGAAGATAGTCCCACTGAAGTGTCTGAAAGTGAGGTGGAAGAAAAGCCACCTACAAAGCCCAGAAAGTCGGCGCTTAAGAACACCCAGAAGCAAGATGACAGGAAAGTTCAAAAGATCAGCAAGGATGATGCGAGGGTTTCTTTCAACCCCATGGACAAGGACATGGATGACAAGAAAAGCGAGAAGGCAACCAAGAAGAGATCTGAAGCGTCCAAGCCATTGGAAGATGAACAGAAGATCTTAAAGTCGGAGGCTGACAAGAAGGAGATGAAGAAAGATGAAGATGAGTTGCCGGCAAACACAGAGTCAGAGAAGGCTCCAAAGAAGATCAAGAAGAAGGACATCGAAGACAAGACAGATGCAGAGGCTCCAAAGGAGATCAAGAAGAAGGACATCGAAGGCAAGACAGATGCAGAGGCTCCAAAGAAGATCAAGAAGAAGGACATCGAAGACAAGAGAGATGCAAAGGCTCCAAAGAAGATCAAGAAGAAGGACATCGAAGACGATACAGATGCAGAGGCTCCAAAGAAGAGCAAGAAGAAGGACATCGAAGACAAGACAGATGCAGAGGCTCCAAAGAAGAGCAAGAAGAAGGACATCGAAGACAAGACAGATGCAGAGGCTCCAAAGAAGAGCAAGAAGAAGGACATCGAAGACAAGACAGATGCAGAGGCTCCAAAGAAAAAGGCAAAGATCGAGAAGGTGGACACCAAGAAGTTGCCGAGAGGAAAGAGCTTCGTCAAGACCATGGACAGTGAAGCTGAATCTGACAATGAGGCGGTGAAGAGCGATTGCCCTTTCGATTCAGATGAGGATCCAGACTATGATATCTATGTGGCAAAGACAGCCAGAACGAGCACCAAGACCAAGGAGAAAGAAGGAAAGACTGTGACTAGAAAAGCTGAAGGGATGAAGACCAAAGATCTTGAGAGAGCCGAAGCAAAGAAGGCGAAGAAGGGAGATGATGAGGAGAGAGGAGAATTGGCATCAAGCAGCAGTAAGAGGAAGGTGCCAGCAGATGAGGGAAGGTCAAAGTTCTCCAAAGCAGAACAGGCATTGGGGAAGCATGAGTTGCTTGGGGGCAAGGCAGGTCAAACAAAGAGGAAGCCAAGTGACAAGCCGAAAGATGAGAAGTTGAAGACAAAGAAGGCGAAGGTGAACGCAAGCGAGAAGGATGAGAAGGCAGAAGCAGATTCAGAGGAAGAAGGAAGTGAGGCAGAGACAGTGATTCTGGGAGACAAGCCCAAGAAGGCACAACTGGGAAAACAGCTGAAACTGCTGACCACTCTGTTCATTGAAACTTACCTTCCGCAAAAAGAATTATAGCGATTTTTTCACTCTGTCACCATTACATGTTTGATCATTGATTACGGGATCAAAGATATAATTAAGCTAAACAAACACACAAACACAAAAGATGGCAATATACCATTCCTCATGTATGTTCTTCAAGCTGTTCTCCACCCAAAACTCTGAACAATCCGGAATCCAGGCTGACAAGCCTCCATCTCGAAGGCCATCTCGAAGGCCAGCTCGAGATCCCAAGAAGGCAAGGCAGGCCATCAGGGTTTGTCCAACTTGGATATGTGAAAAATCAGATTTTATCACTGCATTATATAGCATGAGCATGATAAAATTAAGTATCGATATGTCATCCATTGATATGATATGTTGCATCATGTGATGCCTGACAAGTAAGATGCGAACTGGCAGTCCAATCCATCTTCTTGGGGTTCCTCTCACTCACAGAACCAGAGCCTATGCCATATTATGCCATATTGATTTACGTTTACATGAGTTCGCCCAGCTGACTGACTTTGTCTATCATGCAGTACTTTAGCACTCTGGTGTTTTTGACCCATTGAGATCCAGCGCGGCCAGGCGCCTACAAAGCTCCAGAGTGCATTTCATGCGTTCATGACCTCCGAGATTGCGAAGCTCAAAGAAACCAGGCCTGATCTTAGCCCGAAGGAGAGACTTCAGCTTGTTCGCAAGACGTGCTGGGCTTAGAAATCAACATCTTGTCAAATCCGACTTTTTCCTAACTTGTGCAATCTTGTACATTGAAGTTTATAGGGTCTAGAGGAACTTCAGGTCACCAATTACAAGGCCACATCCAGTGAGTAGTGAGTTTCATGCATGCAGTCAAATGTGCTACTGTAACTATGTGGAAAAGCATCCTTATTCAGTTTGATGTCGCTTTGTTCGAGGTGGCGTGGACATCCAGATCGGGTGAAAAACTTGGAGGGGATGACATCATCTGAGCTTTCCAGGCGCAGAATCAAAATGCAGCACTCGAACCCAAAGACCCCATCAGAAGAAAATGAATCTTCTGGTGAAGAAACCGATGAGTGAAGCCTTGCGCGTTCTACGCGGTATAGCTGTTGTTGAGGTTTTTGAGAAGTCTCGTTATCTAGCGCTGAAACCCTCAAAACGCAGTAAAAACTAGAAAGAAGACTGAACCTAGAAAGAAGACTCAAAGTAGAATCTTAGTCAGAAGCTTTTTTCTGTGTCATACTTCAAAAGAGCTTTGGCATGTTCATGCGTGCTGTTGTGCTCAGCGCAAAGATGCAGGGAAAGACTGCAAGCCGTTTGCAGCATCAGCTAGAGTTAGCAGCTTAGACAGGGTAGCCCTGGGGATCCCAGCTTGGATAAGCAAGTCCGTGAAGCAGCAATGGGGAAAAAGAGCGCAAAACCGCATCCAAACCATGAAACACATGTCTCAGCAAGCTATTGGCCACAGCATCTGCAGTAAAACTCTTACAGGAACTTGACTTTGACATGTTGACAACCGATGAAGAATTTCAATTTGCTTGAATGAATCTATTTTGTTGGGTGGCATGTCAGCACTGCAGGAGATTTGCAGCGCATTGCATCATGCACTTGGACGCATGAGTCCGACAAAGTAGTCTTGGAAGTTCAGGCCTGTGCTGTCATTCATTTCAGGTTTTTATTCACTAATGTCTTGCAGTTTTGTTTCCTGGACCCTTCATTAGCTATTTCAGGCAGCAAAGACTACGAACGACACTGAGATCTCCTCGTGGAAAGACCTGCTCAATGAGTTTAGCGATGAGGGGGTGGTGGACTGTGTCATCCATTGCCATGACTTGGAAAAGCCTGGTCTTGTTGGGGAAAGTTCAGGGCTCAGTTGTTAGAGGAACAAACAATATCAAACAATGTAGTGAAGCAACTCAAGCAATGAAAGCAATGATACTGTTTCTCACCTGACTTCTTTCCCTTGCTACACTCACAACACAACTGTACTGACTTGAGGCGACGTCACTTACTTCATCAGGCCAAAAGCAAGCCAGGCTGGATTCTAGTTGCAACAAGTGTCGTCACTTTTGAAGCATGTTTGCATCTGATGGCAGGCATTCTATTCATGGGCTGCCCCTGGCACAATGAACGGATTGAAGTACTCGTCAGTGGCTTCTGCCTTCAACAACGCTGACACCTAGCTGCAATGCTATGCACAGGAAATACTTCACCTGTGAGACATGTGTGATGTGAAGCCTGTTTCATTGTGAAGCCTTGTTGCTGTTTTCGTTGATTCTTGTTTCAGTTACATCGCGAGGATTTGGAAGCCTCTCGGCTTTTGCACAGGGTCTGGCGCATTGGGTTCGTGAAAGAGGCAAAGGAAACTTGGTGGCAAACAAGGAAACATCAGGAAACAAAACGCAGATATGACCATTCATGAGCACGTTCATGTGTGTATCAGCCATCAGCTGCTCAGGAGTTCTCACCGCGCAACTTGGCTAGTGGGTGTTTTGACTTGTTTACTGGTGGTGTGGTGGTTTGACCTGCCCAGGTAAGCCGCTCTACTTTTTGAAGAGCCCCTTGGAGGTCCTGGAGAACCAGGTAGTTCGCTTGATCTAGTGAACTTAGTGTCACAGTTGGATGGTCGGCTTCAATATGGGATGGTACAATTCATACACCATAGACAATTAAGAAACAAAGACAACAGCACTGATGTTGAAAAAAGAAATGACATTTCATTGCTTCATCAAGCCTTGTGGCCAGCCAGCCAGCCGCTTTTGAGTTTTGAGCCGTGAGCCGAAGTGGATGTGTTCTTCCATAGGGCCAGTGATCAAATCACCACTGTTTAGGGATGAGCATATCCATAAAGCTGGACAAGAGAAAGGTTTGGAAAGAGTGAGTTGCTGGGAGCTCTTGCATTTGTTTCACATTGTGAAACACCTTTCAAGAAAACAAACAGTGAGCTTTGATTCAAAACACATTTTGCAGTTCTTGGCTTTGAAAGCAGTGAGGGTGGCGAGCCAAAAAACAGGACACATCTCAAAAGCAAGAGATCAGATCTCTGAAAAAACAAGCAGGTCATTGTTACACAGGATCAGCAAACACATTTTTTTTACTTGGGCTGCAGCGACTACTTGTTCCTAATGGCGCCGAAAGACAAGACCAAGGATGGCTTCAGACAAAAGTACTTGAATGTCTCGGTGCCTCACTTGGAGAACTCAAAGGAGAGAAGAAAGGCGCTTCAAAAGATATACGAGAAAAGACGACGCTTGGCAGTTTGCAAAATGTTCATTTTGTGTTGGGACTGTACACTCACAGCATTCTTCCCTGCCCATACCGTCCCAGGAAAGGAACAAAAGAAAGCCGAGAAAGAGAAGAAGGGAAATCCACCTGAGCCAATGCCTGTTTTGCCTCTTGAAGATGGCCGTGCTCAACCTGCTCCCAGTCATCTTGACGAGGAGGACTTGCAGAAAGTGCGACACCAAATCTTCAAGATGACTGGAATTTGCGACACGAAAATGGTGATTGACATGGACGAAATCAGCTATCACTTGATCGAGTCCATCAAACGATACAATTTGGTGGCATACAAAGAGCTGGAAGCAATGACCCTGGAATGCTACGCAAAGGGTTTCTTGATTTCAACTGGCATCATTTTTTCCCCACCTGCCAGGTGAGGGTTGTTAGATTTTATCAGAGTTGTTCTTCTCCTCCTCGGCTAGCTCTTCTCCTCCTCCTCCTCCTCTTCCTCGCCTCCTTCTCCTCCTCCTCCGCCTCCTCCTCCAGTTTCTCTTTGACCATGTCTGCATCAACTTCCACCTCCACTTCCGCCTTGCCAACTCTTCGCCAAACTCTTTACCAACTCTCTTCGCCAAGCTCTTTGCCAACTTCCCAGCTCAGTGTGCACCGCTGGACCTCAACCTGGGACCTTCCCAGCTCAGTGTGCACTGCTGGACCTCAACCTGGGACCTTCCCAGCTCAGTGTGCACCGCTGGACCTCAACCTGGGACCTTCCCAGCTCAGTGTGCACTGCTGGACCTCAACGGCCAGATAGAATACCAGAAGATATGCCAGCCAGTGTTAGAAGATATGTCAGATAGAATGCCAGAAGATATGCCAGATAAAATGCCATGAGATATGCCAGATAGAATGCCAGAAGCTATGCCAGATAGAATGTTAGAAGATATGCCAGATAGAATGCCAGAAGGTATGCCAGATAAAATGTCAGATAGATTGCCAGAAGATATGCCAGATGGAATGCCAGAGAGAATGCCAGATAAAATGTCAGATAGAATGCCAGAAGATATGCCAGATAGAATGCCAGAAGATGTGCCAGATAAAATAACAGAAGATATGCCAGACAGAATGCCAGAAGATATGCCACATAGATTGGCAGAAAGTGTGCCAGGAGATATGCAGGATAGAATGCCCGAAAGAAGTTTGCCAGTCAAATGGACTAGAACATATGGACAAAGAATGGAAGATGATAAGCCAGATAGAATACAAGATCATGTGTGTAGAATTGAGTGGTTCGCTTGCTTTGCTGGGTCCTGGGTCAAGCAAGATCAAGCCAAAGCAAGTTGTCTCGTGGAACGGATGATGTGTTTGAGCAGCATTGCATCATGTGTTAGCAGCATTGCAGCATGACATGAGTGATTCAGGTGGTCTCCAACATGTCTTGGTATGTGATTTTTCAAGCTGCAATGCAGGCGACATGACATGAGTGATGCATGTGAGCATGTGAACTCCAACATGTCTTGGCATGTTTGTTTTGCAGCCTGAACTGCAAGCGGTGACGCCAGGTGACATTCTAGAGTGAAGCGGCAGGCCGGCTAGCAAGTCACAGAGCAAAAAGAACGCAATGGCTTGCTTGCAGATGTGTCAGTGACCAGGTGGAATGCCAGAAGATATGCCAATATTAAAACGTATAAATGTCATGGTGGGGATCACTCGAAGTAAAGTTTTTTTTTTGCAAAGCATGTGCAGCCTGAGGCAAATGAGAGAATCCCAAATCCCTTAGCCCCTGTTTGAATGTTTGCTTCCACTGGGGTACAAAAACGATCAAAAACGTGAAGCTACTTCAGGAAAGAAGATCATTGAGGATGGCAAGCGCATTGAAAAGCTTCAGCGTGAGATTTCTCGCTTAAAGGGGGCGGGCCAGTCTCGATGAGAGGTTGACCCGAAAGGGGGTTCATTCTCGATGAGAGGATGCCAAATTTGGGGTAGTGAAAAGGGTCTGCTGTATGTGTGTGCGTGCTGCGCTTTCTTCACATCCAATTTCATACCTGTGTGAAAAGCATCATTCACTTAGGCCTTGTCAATGAAGTTTTTGATTTCTGGCAGCAATCTCAGAAAGGAAACTGAGTTTCATTTTTGTTTGCTTTGCTACTCGGAAACTTATTCCCGGCGCCGGCACTTTCCTCCCCGGCGCAAGCACTTCCCGGCGCCGGCACTTTCCTCCCCGGCGCCGGCACTGGGACTTTCCTCCCCGGCGCCGGCACTTTCCTCCCCGGCGCCGGCACAAACACACACACAAAAGCATCAACAAATTGATTTTAAACATTTGCGTTAATCAGCAAAAGGAAATTCAACAAAATGGACTAGCATTAACACTTTATCAAATTTCAAAGCAAACTGTGACAAGACACTACAAAAGGGACAAGCAGAAATCCACAGTTTAACAAAGCAAAGCAGCACAGCAACAAGCCACATTAATGCCGTAAGCCCAAACACAGTTTTTTGGAAAGTTTAAAGCGCCGCTCAGGCCCAACAGAATTGCCTATTCCTGTGAGTTGTGGATTTGGCCGTTGACTCAGAATTCTGGTTCTGCTCTTGGATTGTCCATGCATGTCATTTTGCATCAGGTATGAGCATTGGACTCAATTGGCGTGAGCTCGCTGGCTTGGGCGGTGATTTTATCACTGAGCTCCGTTCGATTTTGTGAAAACAAGGGGTATGTGCTGCGCTCACTGGTTTGTGGTTTTGCATTCTGCATTGTAGCATGTTGTGGCATTATCATCATCTTAGCTTCTACGCTTTGACCTTTCAGCTTAGATACCTGAAAACGCTTTGACCTTTCAGCTTATCTTAGCTTCTACGCTTTGACCTTTCAGCTTAGATACCTGAAAACGCTTTGACCTTTCAGCTTATCTTAGCTTCTACGCTTTGACCTTTCAGCTTAGATAGCTGAAAACGCTTTGACCTTTCAGCTTAGATAGCTGAAAACGCTTTGACCTTTCAGCTTAGATAGCTGAAAACGCTTTGACCTTTCAGCTTTGATAGCTGAAAACCCAGCCAACAAGCTCAGGACCCAAATGATATGAAACAGGACCCATATCTCATGAAATCAACTTATATATAAATGCGTATATCTATCAGTCTGTCTATCTACCTACCTACCTAGCTATCTATCGTTCTATCTATCTGTTATATTTGTGCTAGGATGCACATCCATCAGGGAATGGCTCATCCACAACAGCACAGCTGAGCCGGGGGCCACGAAGAACGTCACCTGCGGCAACGCGAGCTCCACCGAAATGATGCGTTCTAAGCCAAGGCCAAAGAGTGCTCCTGCCAATCAGAGGGAAAAATAAAGGCCCTCGGGTGGTTGTCATTCAACGGGGACCTACCAACATATGTTGAAGAATATTTCATTGAGGTATGCTAAGTTGTGATGTTTGATTCCCAGTGGTCACATATCCGAGTACTCCAAGAAACTCCAAGTTAAAATAATTGAACAGAATCTGTGGCTGCTACTTGCAGTCAATTGAAAGTCCTGGGTCCCGTACTAGAGTTGAGATATGTCGAGAGATGGAAAGCGTTTTAGGTTTAGAAAGCCAAAAGGAGGAGGATGTCCGGGTCAATGGCCAGGTTGGAGCAAGCTTCCAATAAAGAAAAATCAACAACCGTCAATTAATTTGCAGCATTTTCGCAATATTTCTCCATAGAGGAGTCACCAGCTCAGCAAATGGCACACCTTGAAGCAGCCCACAAGGAAGCGCCAAGTGGAGCAAAGCCAGCTGCTGGCGCGAGACGTGCTCACCAAGGAATTGATTCTGCGCAATGATCCGTTCTACCCTAATCTTAACTCAATACTGCTGAAAAACATTGACAAACCTGAATGTATAGGGGTATTTCATGGTATTTCGGTATTTCATATTAGGCTGATGGAATTACATGGGATTACCATTGGTTTTGAAGTGCCAGCTGAAAATCATGGATCATGGGACTTTGGGTTCAGCTGAGACGCCTGAGACCCCCATTTTCCCAAACCAACCTGTGTCTCGGAGACCTCCGAACTGCTGCCCGCAAAGCCCTCCAGCCAACGAAAGGAATGATCGATAATGATGTAGCCTGAGCATTCCGAGTTTCCCATGTTTCCCAAACTCTAAGAAGGCACCGCACGTTGAACATATTTCAGCAAACCTGTTGACACCAAGCTGCTCACAAGTCTGCAGGCTATTGAAACCGTACGCTTTGGGTGGCATTAGCGATCTGGGTCCAATCCGAACGGCACGAATCCAAGGTCAACAATCTCAAACTATCCAAGGAGCCACCATGCTTGTCTGCCTGCAGTCTGCTAGCAGGCTGATGGAACAGGTATGTCCAAAGCTCCTTGCAAACGTACTTCATGATCATGCGCTCCTTGCTTCTTCGCTGCAGCCATCGGCCCCATCACCAGTGTGGGAAAGAAACACCAAGGCATCATGGCACTTAGGTCGTATCAACAAACAAGAAGAGTTGGAATGCTTCAAGCCACTATTTTCATCTATTTTCCTGGTTAGTGGGAGATATGGAGGCTTCAGCACATGGTGGAACCTTTGTTGGCCCAGGTACGTTGGTCATCGGAAAGCGTGACCCTGCCAGGCGGGTTATGAGCCTTGATGCTGTTCAGCTTGCTGGATGCAAGGAGCCAACCGCAACCCTGCAATACACTAAAATAATGCCATAAAATAAGTGACAGAGTCACAGCACAAAGTTAAGAACTTAGTGGGAATGTCAGTTTATGTTGTGCCCAGCAGCCGGACACCAGTCGTAAATCCGAGTCTTCTCAACTTGTCTTCTGCCCCATCAGGGCCGAAAGTGTCCTACAGCTGATGGCTGCGCGCTTGAGAACGATTTGTCATTTGCGTCTCTGGCAGCCTGTAGTGGTCTCATGCTTTGCAGAGTTTGTGGAGTGGTCTCATGCGCTGTTCTCCCGCTATCACTATCTATTCTTGGGAATAGTGTAGCTCAGCCAGGGCGCAAACATAGCCACTTGCACTTCCAAATGTTCATTACCACTTTAGAAGCTTACCTAGCCACCCAAGAGTAGAAGAAATGGATAGAAATGGTGAATCTCTCCTGGTTGATTGACCTATGCACTGAATGAGGCCCCATACAATGAATGATCCAACTCCGAATCGCTTGAGTTTGGAATGCAGGTCCCGCGCTTGCCGGCAAAGGTTCTCGCAGGGATACCACCATCTGTGCATGCAGCAACGTGTACATTGCATTGGATACCAGTCCTCAGATGCCAGAACTTCCAAACAGGTCAGCCAGTGGAGTTAGATAAATGCAGGAAAAGCAACGGCAAAAAGGGAAGAGCGCGATCCTGGACCACATCCAAGGATCGAATTTTTCTCTCATTATGACTATGACCGCTATGACTAATATGGCATAACTTGATTGAACCGGGATATCATCCAACCCCGTATCCTACAGTACCGTTCCCACCTTTCACATTTTGGCAGACTGGGACGTTTCATCAAGCTTCGTTCGGGCAACGCTGCACCAGTGCCAGGGCCAATGAGAGGAGGTCGCCTGCAATGGTACGGGCGATGTGGAAAACATGCCAATTAGCTGGAAATTCATGTTAAAGCCTAGTTTTAAACATGTTTAAACCATCCGCCTCCATTGGCGTGTATTGTGGTATACCATGGTATACCCATTTCATATCAATTAATTAATCAGTTAGGATGATGTAAAGCGACCCCCAAAATTCAAAATCCCCCAAATAGTTGATCATTGGATGCTTTACTATTGGGCCTACCTCACTACAAAAATCATCAAAAATCATTCCTCAAGGGCAGTAGTCGTAATTAGCCTCTATCTGTGGGCACAAACCTCCGTAACTCCGTTGAGTGATCAATCCAGCACGTTGACGTTGACTACAATTGGAAGCGTTCAGATCTCACGACACCACTTCAATGGAGGCTGCGCAATAAACGCTCTGTGAAAGTTGAATTGCGGCGTTTAGGATCGTTTAGCGCGCCAAAAAGCTGGCCATGTTTTGGAAGCATTTGGGAATTCCAAAATGGTTTGGAGTTATCACACCAGGTGTCAACCCAGAACCAAATAAGCCAAGCAACTCTGGATAGCCCTTAGGCGACCTTGGCCAGTATTGGCCAATGGGTTGGGAAGACCCGCACACATAGGCTACGCTTGCACATACAAACATGGGCTTGTCGGAAATAGGGTGCGAAAAACATCTCACAGTCCACTGTCATTTTCCGTATTCAAGTGGCTAAACCCAATATTGGTGACGTGCCTGATTACATCTGAGCACCTTTACAATACCTTGTGATTTCTTGACAGGAGCAAAAGCATTCTGTCCCAGCACATAACAAGCACTTGACCGCACCACTGGCCGAATCCTGCTCTGTCAAGCCACTCTGCCATAGCTTGGGAGTTGCGAGTCACCAGTATCAGGCAGAATTGTAAGTCATGCGTGCTGGAAACGGTTATGCAAGTATCATCAGGTCTGAAATGGTCCTCAAAGAGTGCTGAAATTCAATGGGCCTGATTTGGCCTTGAAGGGCGCGACTCTAGGGCTGATCATGATGTCAATTCATGCCATGAACCTCCAATTGGGGATGGCACAACTCCCATTGTAAGTTGGGGATGCTGTTGGGCCAGGGGTCAATCCACAATTTTGTTATAATAATGGCACATAGTGGATCGTAATGGATCATAACGGGGCATATAATGGGATAATTGTAATTCTAATTATATAGATTATAATGGATTATTGCTATAATGTTGGTGTCGGTGCTTGTAATTGCGCGCATTCTGATCCTCGGACTTTGTGTAGCAGGACTTGCTGGTTCTCCCATTGGTCAAACCACCAATTCGTTTCAGCAAGAGCAGCCCTTGAACGAGCACAAACGGCGAACAAGCAGGCAATCAGGCAAAAACGATCATGTATATATATATATATATATGTGTGTGACAATATAATATATGGTATCATATTATATAAAATATATCTATAGTATAATATGGTATCATGAAACCTGCATAGCTCAAAGTCATGGTAATACCATGTAATTAATACCCAAGTGCAGCATTTGAAAGGTTTGTGCATGCAAGAGCCTGGACTGACTTGCCAGTTTATATCTGCCACCAATAACACACCAGAGCACACCCTGCTCAGGTCGAGACGTGTGATCACGAAGCTCCTGCAAAGAACACTGCTATACCAATCGATACTAATGTCATGGGGGTTTCCCAGAGCATCCTCAACAATAAATCATCACGAATGAGTTACGAGTACCACGATTGGGTGGGAGTTGTCGCATCCTCAGTTTCAGCTGGAGGTCTATGGCAGTTTCCCAGTACATTGTACAAGATGTATTTACAGTGAGGTTGCAGCCTGTCACCTAGCGGGAATGACACAAGTGGCCGTACAGTGATGGCATCTCAATTCGCAGCTTGGAGAACATGCGAAGAACCGAGACCAAAAACGTTGGTTCTTGCAGCTCTTGCAAAACATCATGGGGGTCATAAATGCGCCCCTTCATTCATTTGATCACAGCAAGTTGATGTGAAACATTGAAAAACACTGCGACGGAAAACACACTTTTGCGGATAGGATCCAGAATGTCCTCTAGTCGGCCAAGGGCATAGTTCAAGAGGTCAGTTGAAACTGCCGCCTGACAAGCGCAACCCGGCATTCGGGTCCGTTTTCCTCTCTCTCTCTCTCTCTCTCTCGCTCTCTCTCTCTCTCTCTCTCTCCCCCCACCTCGCCATCTCAGCCGAGCCATTTTGAAAACGACCCTTGCTTTCACCAGCACGGTTTGCCGCCCCGTGGGGAACAACTGGAACAACCGAAAGTGGCAATGCATCTCCACCATCACCAGAAGCTTTCCTATGTACTCTCTGAAAAGTGAGAAGCCATTGGCTGCTGTTGTTCAATCATTCACGCAAACATCCCCGCTCCAAGTGTGATAGCTCTGGACCTTCTCTGCTTGCTTTACCACTTGCCTTTGTGCACAAGGCCGCAAAAGCAGAAAAAGACTGCGCACAGCAAGCCCATCTATAAGTAACTTGATGAACTATGATGAACTACCGTATGACCGTATGAGTGTGACAAGGGGCTGTTGAGGCTTTTGAATTATGGTGGCGCTGCGTCCAAAGCTGCACAAAGTCATCCATGGAACCTTTCGCTGGAGCCCCTGACTGCAGCTGCTCCATGAAATCCGCGGAAAAACTTCGTTCACCAAGTGTTGAGAGCAGCGCCTGGACATTGATTGACAAATGTTGAAGTTCAAAGGAGCGACTCTCGGTTGATTCAAAGCAAGGCCATAGGGACTCGAATGCTTGCAATCCTCAAGGGTCAACTATATATATATGTTACATATATATATATATACATACTTCAAAACAGTTCAAAACCTACAGTGGAACATGCCATTATAGGTCTAGGTCTGTCCCTCTCAAAACTGGAAACCCAATCGAAATGCTCCATCAAAATCATTATCATATTAATTGCATCAATTGGAATATGGACTGAACATGCTCCATTTCAGTAACATGATGACACAATAACAGCCCATACAAATTGTAATATTTATATGAGGCACTGGCATTGTGCTAATAATTCATTGTTAGTATTTTCCAATGATCCTTACTATTTCTTCTAATATCTGTGAGAAATAACAGAAATGCAGTATTTACTACTAGATTTGGTAATATAATGGTAATATATCGAATTAGTAGATTTGTTACCCCCTAGTTTTACCATTATTTTACCATTATATTACCAAATATACCCGAATTACAATGGTAACCCACGAGTTTTACCGCATTCGGGCTGCCTCTTCCGCAGCCTGACGAAGCCGTCGCCGGCCACACTCCTGGGCCATGCAGTGACAAATACAGGTCGAAAACATTCAAAGCCTTTGAGGATCTGGTAACATCTATGGTAAATCCATGCAAATCCACTGATATAACATACTTAAGGTGCGTATATATATATTATATATATGTGTGTGTGCGCGTGTGTTTACATGTGATATATCAACATCCTAGTCTATCATTGGGTTTTTGGAGCTGCTTAACAGTTCAACATCTTTGGAACGAGACTTCACGACAGCTCATGGTGTAGACACCTGTCCTCATGTGCAGACTCCAGCGCTTCGGCTTGAACTCCCGCCTGGTACACTTGGAGGTGACCAGACTTCTGGCTTCTGCCATCGAACAATTTTGGGCACCCTATATATCAAGAGAGAGACAGAGAAAGGGGCATACAGTATGTATATATATATGTGTGTTATAAACATATAGCATCATAATATAGCATGTAACATCATATAATGTTAGCCTCCGATTAGTGTCATGGTACCCTATTGTGAGATGTTTTCCCTTCCTAATTGAGTGTCTTGCCGTTTGTGGGGGGGAGGCTCTATTGTGAGAAGTTTTTTTTTCAGATTCAATTTTTCAGGAGGGAAAAAAAGGTTCAAGAAAAACTGATCATTTGACTACACATGTTTATTTGCACACCTGGTCCTTTAGAAAGCCATATCCATGTTAAAGCCTTGAAAATGCAAGGTTTCCCAAATAATTAGATGCCGTTTTAAACCCTTCTTAAAAAACAGCACCAAACAATTTTTCAAGGGGGTACGCCATGAGTGACCCAGATCCTCAATAATGTAATTGTTTCGATGGCGCCCTATTGTGCACAAAAACTTGTGGGGCATTGTTTTTGTATTAAAGGGAAAATCAATTGAAAGTAGATTCAAATGAATTGAAAGTAAATTGGTTTCAATTGAAATCCTGTCTTATCAATAGATTTCTTTGAGGTTTATATAAAAGTAAATTCAATTGACAGTGGGTTCAATTGAATTGAAAGTAAATTGATTTCAATTGATATCCTTTCTTATCAATAGATTTCTTTGAGGTCGAAAAGGAAAATCAATTGAAAGTAGATTCAAATGAATTGAAAGTAAATTGATTTTAATATCCTTTCTTATCAACAGATTTCTTTGAGGTTTAAAAGGAAGATCAATTGAAAGTAGATTGATGTCAATTGAAATCCTTACTTAAGTTGACTATCCTAAAAATTGATGGGGGCGCAGAAAATGCCGAGTTATTGAGTAGACTCAAATTGTCGAGGGCGCGGGCCACACTAATCAGAGCCCAACATTACCCAAGATTATCCAACTATAGAGGTATGGATGGATATGGATGGATACGGTCCTATGTCCTAGTCCTAATATGTCCCAAGATCAGCAGATCGGGACAGGGCAATGTCGATGAATATGTCATTGCACAGCCTGAAATTGGGGTGCCAAGGCTGCTACGGGCCTCCTACCTCTGCATGTAGTCTACTGTTTTGGAATGGATCAGAATGCAACAGTCTGTAACAACATCACACCATATCAAGCCATTCAAACCCCGTGCTCTACATCCTCACCTGCCAAGCTTGCTCACAAGCATCTGACAACGTCTCAGCTGAGACCTTCCAAGCACGCACAAAAACCAGATTGGACAAGTTTGGTCAGAGTCATGATGAATGCAGGTACTTGAGCTCAGGTGCATGAGTGCTGCAACACAGGATTCAGGAATCTGCCATGTCCAGCTTGCAGACCAAATATAGTTTTGAAAATTTTGCAAAGCCCCCTATGCGCCATGTGCCCCACTAGTTGTGCAAAGATGTTCAAAAATGTGCAAATACGTCCGAGGTTGCTTGAAGCGAGCAGCACACCCTAATACAGTCCATTTTGCCCACATGCGGACCTTTCACAGGGTCGTTTGTTCCATGTGTTTCACATAAGCCGCTGAAATGCCAAGACCATCACGGTGGCTGTCAAGGACAGCAGCTGTGAGGATGACCGCTGCGACAAGGGGTCGCTGGGTTGCACCAGGGCCAAGCCAAAGACCCCATGCATCTCAAGCACTGGCTGCAAGGGCTGCTCCGCCAGCACGCCGCATGGCATGGCATAGACGGTGCTGGCGCCCTCATCTGCCACAAAGACCGTGCCGGCGCCATCCCACACCAGGCCACGAGAAAGGATGAAGCCCTCATTCAAAGCTGTGGCATTGCCACCACCAAACTTTGGAACACCGTAGACGCCAGCGCCATTGCTGAAGAGGACGGAACTGACGGTTGCTGCAATGCCGAAGGAGTTTGCAGTCATGGTAGTCAATTTTCCACTAGGGGTAGATCCTTTCACAAATGCTGTGCCAACGGAGCCACGTTCAAGTCCATGGTCCTGGTTTGCCCAATACACCTGCACTGCGTCCGAAACGACACCAGCAGGGGTTGCTGCGTGGACATCATCCGCCTCAAAGAGTTTGATGATGACTTCCTCGGAAGACTCCTGAGACACCAGGGCCACAGGAGTTGCAATGGCATTGCCAAGGGCGTTGCCCACAGCATTGCCGAGTGCTTCTGCATTTTGCTCAAGATCTTGAAGGTGTGGCTTGACCTGCATGGCTCGTTTGCCCTGCTCCTCTAAAGCTGCTGCCGGATGAGCGGCGCTCCTCTGCTTCAGCTCACCCGGTGTGATCTCACCATGTACCAAGTTCAACAGCAGCACCGCATCAATTTTGTTCACGGTCTTTCGGGCCTGGTCTGAATAGTAGAGGTTGCCATTGTGGTCAAGTGAAACCCATTCACTACTGACCTCACTGAGAATGGTTGTCTCTTCACCTGCCCACAGAGTCCATGGCAGCTCGCAGGCGCTAGGACCTTGAGCTGAGTCGGTGGCAAAGGGGTCTGAGACAGCTGCACCCATCCTTGGATTTTGCGTCAGGAGCCCCAACTGGGTTTTTTCCAAGTAGGTTTCCGAAATTGTGGGTTGGATATGTTGGATTATATCATTTGGAGAGTATAACCAATGGGGAAGATAAAATGAAAACTAATTCATAAACATATCATATCGCCTTCAGCACAGCCAAGCATCAAACCTGCCTTCTCTTCTGGTGTGAAACATCGTTCCAGGAAGAGCCGCCAGGAGCGAATCCTCCGCGTCCCGGGATCCGCCACAAAGAGCAGATTGTGGCGAGGATCAAAGGCTAAGCCCTTGGGACTACTGATGCCACCCTTGATCAACGGCTTCACCAAGTTCTTCACTGCTCGGTAATCATCTGTGACCTGCGCATAGCTGATGATGCGTTCCTCAGGGCTGGAAACGATGAGAAATCTGGGAGGCAATGGAGCGGGTGGATAGATATGCCATGCAGATGGCCTCAGTAGAAAATCTTCTGCTGCATGCAGGCGATCAGGAGCAGTCCGGAGCAGGTTTCCGAGGGCCAAACCTGGAAAGATAGCAGACCACCACAGTGCCATCGCTACAATTTGAACGGGGATGAACTCACCATCTGAACTCAAATGGCTATGGCACAAATATATGTATACAAATATCCTCTAACAACCCAAGAAGGGTTCTTCCATCGGCTTGCACTCATGACACTTGCGAACAACGACGCTTATCTTGGCCGATGACTCAAAGTTCAAATGCATGACCGAAGGCAAACCTGCACTCAGTCTCGACAACTGCTGCCTTCGGTTGCTCCAGGACATGCTGCAAAGCATCCATCGCTGCGTGTTGCATACTCTTCTTCCAAGCCTGACACATCACAGATCTGACACAGCGCCTTGCAGATTCATCATCTTTTTTTCGGCAAGCTGCAAATAGCTGCAGCATGCTGCAGCTACAATGTGGACATGTATGGACCATGCGCCTCATGCTCCAATTCCCGGCACTTGTCGTGAGCCCACCTCAAGGGGTGTGAATCCGGGGATATCTGGGGTGATTCCTGCGGATATCTAAGGTGATCTAACTTTGGTAACCGCTGATGCTGTGACAGGAAATTCAAACATACAGCATCATACAGCTGAACTGGTTTGAAAGTATGAGACGGTAGACAGTAGTCCGTGATGCTTATTTATTGCTGTGCTGGTTTGGATTTTATTTGGTGCCAGTATGTAATACAACTATAGGCAAACATGGATCATAGTGATTTGTAATGCATCTCTATCCAGATTTGCGATTTTATGGGCATCCACTTCACTCATGCGGCCCATGGGGGCAACGGCAGGCTACTGAGGCTATTGCTCGATAAGTTCCCATCCGCTGCCTGCAGCAACAGCCTGCAGCAGTGTGGATGTGCCATGAAAAGAATCGGGATATCATGGGACGTCCCACGATAATATGATAATGGAGAAATAGTGAGAAATATTCACGAAGTATCACCACCATATTAATAGAATCACGAAACAGCTCGGAACAAATTGGAGATTGAGCAACCACAATCTGGATATGTATCTTGCAAGACACGAGCTATGAGCCATTCCTCATGATCCTCATGACCCGTTATTTTGATTTATTTTGCACATAAATTTCATAAAATTGATAAAATACGTGACCGGATCCCATACCCCCACCCATTCTTGCTGCTTACATCCCCCACTTCTCCTTTTCAATCTATATATCATCACAAATAACATATCATAAATCATCATAACTATTCATAACTGATAGAATTGTATTCCAACAACACCCGTAACCGTAACCACGCTAAACTTGGCCTCTGCCAGCGCTTCCCGCAGGGCGGGAGGCTGTTGCTGCTCGACTGCACGGCGCAGTGCCTACGGGCATGCATGATATCAAGGCAGGGGAGATCCAGAGGGTTTGCTGTGGTTAGATCTTAAATCTCAAGCATTGTGCAATATGCAAACTTGAAAAAGACCTATCAAATTAAACAAGATCAATATATTCAATATGTAGATGTGGCTTTGGCTCAACAATGATGCTCAAAAAACGGTGGGGATCGTTCTGCGCCATACCTATGAATTGGTCTGGATATGTCTGGATCACCTGCGTTTTGGTATGGATTGGGGGTATGGATCGCCTGTGGGTTTAAACCCTTGATCCGGACCGGACATTTCAATGGATGTAAATGAATGTAAATGGATGCAAATGATTTCAAATTGAAGGGTTACAGGGAAACGAGAAAGTTACGCCCATGTTTAGGGGGTAGGCACGACTTCGTACGTTAACTTCTCTGCAGCTAATTCTGGTATTCTGCAGCCCGTGAGCACGACATTGTCTGTTCCCTGTAGTTATTTTTTTAAATGACGGCTGAAATTTTGTCAACTGCAAATCCAATACAGCGATGCATAGCGATGTATTGATCCGCTGTTCAATGCTGTTTACCTCTGTGTCCCTCCCGTGGAGACGGTGATTCAGTGATGCTAGGTAAAGAATCACTCTCTCTCTCTCTCTCTATCGCCGTCCCGAAGGTTCAGCTATTTTCCTGGCTGCTTTTGTTTTCTGCGCCAGCTGCGTCCCAATCTAAGAAAGCAGTCACTACAGTGACATTGTCACCAGTGCAGCGGCGGAACGACTCATTGCACACTGCCTGAGCAAGGAACAGTGGATGGGGCATGATTGGACCAGTACCCAATTGGCAGAAAGAAGTCAAGCTGAAGGTTGGATGATCCATAAGAGAAACGTCTGTCATTGTCCTTCAGCACACATAGAATACCTGCACATCGGTCCCAATCGTCTATATAGCATCAATTTGAAAGTTTCCCAAGCTGCACGTAAACATTGCCCAATGGACCAAGAATCAACAGGTACAATCAATGCCAGACATTTTCCTCCAAGTCAAGGACACGTGACACAACTATGATGATCAGGATGAATGATGGTACTCATAGCATCTCATGGATTTTCATGGTATGCAAATGGGAAACACATTATTCACACTACTGTCACTCGTGCATTGCTATCATCGACACTTCTGGCCTTACATGCCGCCGCTGCATCAGTGTGGCGCATCACATGCTGCGACACATCCTCTAGCGGCAGCACATCTGTGACACCGTCAGAGACGAGCACCTGTCAAGTTGTCCGGCAATGCTGGTGACATGTTCTAGCGCACAAGTTTAAAGGCGGTAAGCTGCAAACCCAACGTGTCCATACACTCATTGTGGAAGTGCGCTTTCTTGAAGCGAATAGTGAACATATGGCCAATGCAGGTATACTTCCAACATCTTCCAACTAATTAGGATTAACAAAAGGACCCGGATACTGTAGCAGAGACGTGATCCGGAGAGAGGTCTGCAGAGTTGGTTTCGACCAGCGAAACCCGAAACCCGAAACCCGAAACCGACTGTTAAAGTTGGTTTCGAACTGCGAAACCCGAAACCCGAAACCGACTCTGAAGACTTAACTTCCCCAGGACCGACCGAAACCCGAAACCCGAAACCCGAAACCCGAAACCCGAAACCCGAAACCGACTCTGAAGACTTAACTTCCCCAGGACCGATCGTAACCCGAAACCCGAAACCGACTGTTAAAGTTGGTTTCGAACTGCGAAACCCGAAACCCGAAACCCGAAACCGACTCTGAAGACTTAACTTCCCCAGGACCGATCGTAACCCGAAACCCGAAACCCGAAAACCGAAACCGACTGTTAAAGTTGGTTTCGAACTGCGAAACCCGAAACGCGAAACCCGAAACCCGAAACCGACTCTGAAGACTTAACTTCCCCAGGACAGATCTTATCTAATCTAGATCTAACCTAATCTAATCTAATCTAATCTAATCAGTCTATCTAATCATCTATCTAATCTAATCTAATCTGATCTAATCTATCTAATCTAATCTATCTAATCTAATCTAACCTAATCTATTCTATCTAATCTAATCTAATCTAATCTAGTCTATCTCATCTAATCCAATCTACCTAATCTAATCTAATCTAATCTAAACTAATCTACCTAATCTAATCTAATCTATCTATCTAACTAATCTAATTCAAATCTAATTCCATTCTAATTTAATCATATTTAATCTACCTAATCTAATCTAATCTAATCAAATCTAATTCAAATCTAATCTCATCTATATAGTCTAACCTAATCTCATCTACCTGACCTGCTCTAATTCAAATCTAGTTTAATCTATCTAATCTTCTACCAAATCTAATCTAATCTAATCTGATCTAATCTACCTATTCTAGTCTAATCTAATCTCATCTAATCTAATCTAATCTACCTAATCTAATCCAATTCTAATCTAATCTAATCTAATCTACCTAATCTAATCTATCTAATCTATCTAATTTGTTCTAATCTACCTAATCTATCCTAATCTAATCTAATATAATCTACCTAATTTAATCCAATTCTAATCTAATCCTAATCTAATCTAATCTAATCTACCTAATCTAATCTATTTATAATCTTATCTATCTAATCTAATCTAATCAAATCTAATTTCATCTACCTAATCTAATCTAATTCTAATCTAGTTTAACCTATCTAATCTTATCTACTCTACCTAATCGAATCTAATTCTAATCTAATCTAACCTAATCTACCTAACATAATCTAATCTACCTAATCTAACCTAATCTATCTATCTAAGTAATCTAATTCTAATCTAATCTTATCTACCTAATCAAATCAGATTCTAATCTAACCAAAACTAATCTAATCTAATCAATCTAATCTAATCTATCTAATCTAATCTAACCTACCTATTCTATAATAATTCTTATTCCAATCTAATCTAATCTACCTAATCTAATATTTCTAATCTAATATTTCTAATCTAATCTAATGATATCATATCATATCATATCATATCATATCTATCCAACTAATCTAATCTAACCTAATCTAATCTATCTAATCTAATCTAATTTAATCTACCTAATCTAATCTAATCTAATTTAATTCTAATCTCATCTCATCTATATAGTCTAACCTAATCTAATCTACCTAACCTACTCTAATTCTAATCTAGTTTAATCTATCTAATCTAATCTAATCTACCTAATCTAATCTAATCTAATCTAATCTACCTAATCTAATCTGATCTACTCTACCTAATCTAATCTAATCTAATCTACCTAATCTAATCCAATTCTAATCTAATCTACCTAATCTAATCTATTTCTAATCTAATCTAGTTTAATCTATCTGATTTAATCTAATCTACCTAATCTAATCTAATCTAATCTAATCCACTCAGTGACAGCTACTTACGGATGCTGGCAGGTTTCCCCCAAACCGTTGCCGTTTCTCCTCTCTGACCTTTTCAGGCGCTTGTCACTCACCGCTCTTGTTTTTGACGACTGCATGGAGAACGACACTTGGGTGATGTGAGATCGGCATCGTACTGGTGAATCTAAAGGTGGTTTCGACCTACGAAACCCGAAACCCGAAACGGACAGCTAAAGTTAGCTTCAATCGACGAAACCCGAAACCCGAAACCCGAATCCCGAAACCGACAGCGAAAGTTGGTTTCCGGCGACGAAACCCGAAACCCGAAACCGACAGCGAAAGTTGGTTCAAGCGACGAAACCCGAAACCCGAAACCCGAAACCGACAGCAAAAGTGGGTTTCAATCGACGAAACCCGAAACCCGAAACCCGAAACCGACAGCGAAAGTTGGTTTCAAGCGACGAAACCCGAAACCCGAAACCCGAAACCGACAGCGAAAGTGGGTTTCAATCGACGAAACCCGAAACCCGAAACCCAAAACCCGAAACCGAAAGTGGGTTTCAATCGACGAAACCCGAAACCCGAAACCCGAAACGGACAGCGAAAGTTGGTTTCAAGTGACGAAACCCGAAACCCGAAACCCAAAACCGACAGCGAAAGTGGGTTTCAATCGACGAAACCCGAAACCCGAAACCCGAAACCGACAGCGAAAGTTGGTTTCAATCGACGAAACCCGAAACCCGAAACCCGAAACCCGAAACCGACTCGAATCCGACTTTTGGGTGGCTCTCCGGATCGGAACTCCTGTAGCAAGTCTTTTTCTGTTGTTGCAAATTAGAATCCAAAATATCCACCGAAATGGCACGCTCTACTTTGGGAACCAAGGTTTGCACATTTTCATCACCACAAACTGTGGCTCAAATAGCGGCCACGTGTTATGCAACCCTTCCCTGCACGTCAAGTTGCTATTGCACCATGGCCCCTGGCCAGCTGGAAATGTTTTACATCTGCAGAGCAGCTCACCAAGTCCACACGTTGAAACCCATCGAATCTGAGGTCGCAGGGTGGGTGAACCGCCAATGGCGGATTTTGATGAATTTAAATGGTTTTAGATTGGTTTTAGAACAGTTTTATAGCTACCCTCATGCAATTTCATATGGCCCATATGCCTATGATTTGAATCGGAAAACACCTTCACACAATTCAGCTACATTTGGAAGCCGGTCATGATTGCTTCTTGGAGGATGTGTTTGGTCAACGCTAAGCACACACTGCAGAATGTTAAAGCGGGCCATCTTCCAAATGTCCACATGTCCGATTCCCGATCTTTTCGGGAGCTTCTGCTACCAGTAGTCTTAAGTAAATTCATTGTCCTCAGCAAAGAAAGCATTGAACAACAATATGCGGCAATCATGCACCCAATTTGGTGTGTGGAATTCAACTGCACTCACAACTTGTCATCCTCACTGCCATCGAGGCACAAGTTTTTAAAGTCCCGGTCACCGAATGCGCGACTGAGAGACAGCGCTTGCGGCCAGTCTCCAGTGACTCCAGAGGCACCTGAGTGAAGCGTTGCGCTGATCATGGTACAATATGAACCAATATGATACAATATGGTTAGTGTTGGTGCCGAATGTGCTAATGCGGGCATGATGGCAGGCTGCTTCTTGGGGTGCAAACAAATTAAATCCAAGCAACAGAATCTGAGGTAGCACAAGCACCAGTTAAGCATTTGTCCGATCTCACGTGGAGGAACATAGGTAACTTAGCTAGCTAACCTAGACAATCCTCAAAGTAGGTGTGAAAAGATCTGCGATCCCGGTGGTCTCTGCAAAGCGGCTTTTGGTTTGAAGCTCTGCCAAGCGCTCTTGAAAATCCGGATGAACTACTCGCAATGTGCCGCCCAATTCCAGCACATAGCCACCTCGTTGAGTCTTTGGGCAACTCCGGCAGCATTCTACGAATGAATCCAGAACAATTCACATGTGCACCTGCCCTGGTATCATTGCAATTAAAGATAAGTTTGGAACTCGCTGCGGGTTCCAAGTATCCATTTATGTCATTTATCACGCACTGATCGTGCTGTAAGGGCAGTTAGCACCTTGATCATATCTTGACAATCTGGTTCGCACAGTCAAGTCATGTCAAGTCATGCAGTGACATATTCAGCATTCAAAGGTCTGATCGTTCTCTTCATCATTGGAATCAGAATTTTGTTACATAATTACATCGACGAAGTCCAGCTGCCCGGGTTTCCAGAATATCCTCTATCTATGTCTATCTGGGGTTTGACAGGGCAACCCACATCTTGCACCAACCCGGCCCTGGTACAAGTTAGGCATCAATGATCATCAATGTCAGCTAAGAATTCCTGTCGCGTCTTGAGAGTTGGCAACCCATGCATTCCTATTAGCCAAGAAAAATTGAAACGGCGTTCCCACATCCCAAAGCAATGTCTCAGCCTGCTTCACTAATGCGTTTCTCCTCCACTGCAGAACCGGGTTTGTGATTTGGAAACGCAAAGGGTGTCACAACGTCGCCGCACAGCACGCCGCCGCTGTCACCTAAGAAATATTGCAGGCAACAGCTTCAGAGCTTGACAAGTGATGACAAGACATGTACCTGTGACATCCTGTGACCTATGACATACTAGGACATACTAGGACTATCTCAAGCAAGCATCAGTAAATACAGTTGCACGCTCGAAACCTGAAAATGTCTCTGCCTCCCTCTCGGGATGGCCCATAAAGACCTACCCTGTGCTCTAATGATTCTAATGTCTCAGGTTGCCCTACTGAATTTTCGAAACTTTCAATGTTTGATTGCTATTGTGATCTATTGTGCTATTGAATGCTATTTATTGAGCCTTGCGATGACCCAATTTCATGATCCCGGTTTAATGTTCAAGCGAGTCCAAGCAAAATGCCCTACCCTGCCTAGATTGGCAATGAATAAGTCCGTTCCCAGAACCAGAGCAATGATGGCAGTGGAACCATCTGGGCAATCGTGCTCCATGAGAAAATCCTCGTCTAATTCGTTGCAGAGCTCCACAAGCAACTTGGGGATCTGTGCCTTTGCCGCTTCTTTGGTCATAGTGGTCCCCAAAGTGACAGACAAGGGAAGCTTATTCGAAACAGCTAAGCACCCACTTCCACCTCTCTCTCTCTCTCTCTATCGCCATCTCACCCACTTCCATCATTGATATTCATGTATCATCCTTTCGCTTTGTTTTGCGGTGGATTCAGCGTGCAGCGATGTTAATCCCTGATGATATCTGCACCTATACAGTACCTGCAAATTATGTTGGTGGCCACCTAAGTGAGTGATTTCTGCTTGGCCATTCCAAGTCTGAAACTATACTTTGTAAATCTTTATAATACGTTATACTCTTATATGATTTATTATATATATATATTAATTTATCCTTATTTATTTATTTAATATTTAATATGTTTAAAAACCTCAGTTTCGTCCTTTCGTCCTTTCATCCAGGATCCTTTCCTCGGATTTGTTCTATATCATTCAAGAACAATGCTCTATTAGGCGCCCAAATTTGATGGCAACAAGCATGGCAACCTCGAGGGCAAAAGCAATGGCAATGGCAATGGCGGTGGCAATCTGCAGGGCAACATGGATGGAAAAAACCGATGGGGGCAAAGGTAATGGCAACATCGCTGGTAAAAAACACTGGCAAATACGTGGCGGGGGTAAAAGCACGGGCGGCAAATTCAATGGCAAAATTTGGGTTGCGAGCAAAAGCCCTTGGCAACACACGCGGCAACGAAAGGGCAAACTGGCATTGCGGGCAAAAGCAATAGCAACACAGGTAGCAAAGCTATGGCAAAAATTGTGGCAAGGGCTAAAGACTGGACCCGTAAGTGGGAAAAGCAGATGGCACATTGCATGGCGGATACTGTATGCAGCCGTTGGCTTGCACAAGCGGCTTCTGAAATTGTGTCATGTGCAAAGCAAGTGAACATTTTCAATCAGATTGTTGTGGTGCCGAATGATCAAACTTAGTGCTCAGAAATTGTTGTGTTTACAGTTCACTTGGTCAGCGATTGCCTTTCGGTTGTGTTTTTGTCTAATGGTTTTCTGTGTCTAAGCCATGCTGTAACATTGTGGGGCACAGAAAAAAATGTTGAGCAAATTTTTGCCCAGGCAGCTGCCCACCTGCCCGTCAAGAAATAAGGTCGATTTTTGCCAAAATAAGCATTATTTTTGACAAAAATATGCCTTATTTTTTGATGGGCAATGATGGCAACCAAAAACTAGTGCGGATTGTCTTGAAAGGACAAGCGTGCGCTGGGCTAAAACTGCCTTTGCGCCACCATCAAAGGGATAATTGAAAACAACATGCCAGCCTATCATATTTGCTTGGTTTCTTGTTTTATTCATAGGGTCGGTGGGCGTCGCCTCCGCTGAAGGTGCAATAGGGCTGGCATGATTTTTGTCAACATCTCTCTCTATAATTGATGTAGCACCAAATTTTGCCAGCACTTTGGCCATCAACTTAACACCCCATTTGCCGCCGAAAAGTCTCTCACACCCTTTCTGTCAACATGTGCCATGTACACTCAACGCCTTTTTGTGACTGAAGGTGTTTGCAACCTTTTCTGCCCAAAAACCTGCCATCAAATTTTGACGCCTCTGCTGCCGCCAAAATGTGATTGCTAAACTTCCGGTTCAATTTTTGCCATGCAAAGTTGTCACCCCCTTTGCCACCAAAATACGGTTACCGCATTTTTGCCATCACATTCTGCCATCAAACTTGCCACCAACTCTTCATTGCCACTGAAACTGCCACCCACATTGCCATATCTAACTGCCACCGCCACCGAACTTGCCACCTTAAACCGCCACGAGCCTCTGGCATAAGATAGAACCATATGAAAGCATACCTTTTAAATCTTAGAAAACGGATTTGATTCAAGTTTTCTTTGCCAAGGAATCTGGCATGGCATCAGGAGATCCAACAAGGAACTTCGGGGAGAGATCGGCCGAGAAACAAGCTGCACTGAACCCGCCAGTTGTTCCAACAGTTTCTGAGGCAATCGCTTTGCCATGTACTCAGAGCAAGCACTTCCCATGTGCCTGGATGTATCTGGATGTGGGGTGCTGAGTGCCATCATGTGCCATCAAAACGCACTTCAAATGTCGTCGCATCACATCATGCTGTCCAGGGGCCCATCAAATACTCCCAAAAGACTGCAGGGCTGCGGCAGGTGCGACCATTTGGCCCCCCCATGCGCTGCCAAGTTGGGGATGAGAACATACCTCAGGAGCCAGGCAGCAGATTGCATCCCCAGGAGCACTGGTTGAGTGTTGGATCTGTTCACTTTGGGGCCCATACAGTATGATGGTATTGCAGACTCTAGGGGGAGGGATTGAAACTGGAAGTCGAACAGCAAAAGCTGCAGATGGTGCATACGAGCGGTACAGATCACCTCACACATACGGAATGTGTTGCAAAAAGTGGCACATGATTAAGAACTATGCATAACCGAACCATGCCGAAGCGGCTGAAAATATGAACTCTCATGTTCAGAGGAACATGTAATGACATCCCAATCTATGGCAAGCATCCGGTCCTCTTGCGCCGGTCGTTTGCCCTGTTCAGAGGCTGCAGCACAACCTCGTGAAGCTAAGCATGCGAACTTGCTTGACCTCTAGGACCGACCCGCTGGATATTCTTGGCACATCTTGGCACAAGATTTTTTTTTAATGTCAAATGATGATTTCAGAAATAGCTATAGATAGTTCAAATATCAATATGTTCAGACAGTTACCGCATTGTGCAGGAACCTGAGCAAAGGGTCCAAGAGTCCAACATTAAAACGTCTGAAGCCTAGCGGTGATGTTTTGTGTGTCCACTGATCATCCTTGCTCAGCCTGCTGGCACAAAAAATGCAAAAGTCATAATGTCATTTTATCAACATCTTCGAGTGTGGCGGTTGCTGTGCCCAAAAACACCCCCAACAAAACATCTCTGCACTGCACCGTACTTGATTCTTCCAGGTCTTCCACTCTCACCTCCCACACAGCCAAACCCTGAAAACACCCAGCCATTTCCAGCTTCCCTTGGGAGGCGGGCAGCGAAGCTGCAAACTTGATGGCTGCTCCAGAGTTCGACGTCGCTTGGTGCCATCTCCATCACGTGTGGTTGACATGGGAGTTGTTGATCCAAGCCAACTCATGTAAATTCATGTTTGCATCGAGCAATTGATTTGGTTGGTAACTCACCTTCAGCCAGAAATGCCAAAGTAGCACCATGTAGTACCAAACTTTATGGAGGGGTTGGCAAGTTCAGCTGCTTCTTGCTGCGAACTCGATTTGCTGCTATGGTAGCACGACTTTTCTAGTCAAGTTCTCAACTGAATCGGAGTAAACGAGCAAATGCCAAGCGCAAATCCACAGATCTATTCAGGTCCGATGTGGTCTCATAGCCCCATGTCTTGTGGTAGTCACTGGTAGTCCTCAGGCTTATCTTCTGACTTGCTAAGCTTCAACTACTTCTGTGGCAAATATGGCATCCCTGCACCTCTGAGGCGGCTGCTGCAGCATGCGATGGAGCAAGGGCCTGCAGAAAAATGTAAGGAATTTGGTCAGTTTGGTCAGTTTGGTGTTTCGCCAGGCCAGCAACAAGCTGTCCTTGCCTCAGTGGTGTCTGTGGTGTCCTTTTTCTCCGCTTCCTCTGCATCCTTGTCACTGACCTGGAGGGGGCGTTGCAGCTTTGCAATTCTCTGAGCCAACTATCTTCGAAATCTCCTGAATCGCCCCAAGGGCTTCAGAACTGCCTGTGCTGCCGGAACAAATGGAGCAGTCTCTAGTGGCTCTACAGTTGCTTTGACAGACCTTCTCTCGCGTCCAGCGGTCCAGTCTCTCATTTTCCGGTTTTCCGCATTTTGCATTTAGTTTCACGGTCAAGACAGGTGACCCCGGGCCGACCCCTGGCCGAGCCCGGGCGACTCTGCACCTTGGCATCCGATGCGTCAAAGTCCAAACTCAGAGGCACAGCGTTGAAAACGGGCGTGTCCACTGCCTCAGGTCAGGGCTGCACTGGCGTGGATTATGTGGATTTTTTGAAACCAAAATGCTCCCATAAAATCGATATGTTTCCCACAAAATTGTGATTATTTAAACGCATATTGAAACAATTGATACAAGTAGTACCCGGGCAAGCCGGGCGCGGAAGTTTCAAATTTGAAACGCTTACAACCCATAAAGCGGAACAAAGACAGCGCCTATAGGTGACAGGCAAGCCTCCTGTGCATCGCAACAACAAGCTCTTGACTTGGTAATCTGATGCCATGTTTTTTGAATGTTGAATCTTTTCTCATTTCATCTGATCTCGTCGCATCGCAACTTCTCTTGGAAATTGCTCATTGCATCCCTCTGTCACCGCAGTCTGTGTCATCCCATCTCATCTCAACTCATCTCCTGTCTTCTAATTTTGTTCACCTCATCTCATCTCATCCGATGTCTTCTCTCCTTTTCTCAACTCTTCTCAGCTGATCACAACTGTTCTCATCTCTTCTCATGTCACCTAAGCTTTTCTCATCTCTTCTCAGCTTATTTCAGCTTTTCAGATTTTCACAGCTCTTCTCAACTCTCCTCAGCTCTCCGCAACTCATGTAAGCTCACCTTATGTGTTCTCATCTCTTCTCTCCTCTTCTCACATCTTCTGAGCTCTTCTCACATCTACTCAGCTGATCTCAGCTCTTGTCAGCTCGTCTCACCTCATCTCAGCTCTTCTCAGCGCACTCTCAAATCATCTCACCTTTTCTCTGGCCCAAAACCTGCTCCAAAAACGGATCTCGGCGCCAAAGCAAGCAACCCATCTTGGTTCCTTTTCGGGGGGGAGGGTCTTGCAGGGGATTTTCTAGCCAGGAATTGGGGTCACTGAGGGGGTAGGTGGATAGGTATTGAAAGCTCATAAGATTGCAACTGGCTATAAAATGACACGCCTCCACCAGTGGGCGGACCAGAAATGGGCAGCTGAAAGGCTGTAAACTATAAAATGCCTTGCCTTGACGCCCCTTCCATATGACCATAGGATAATTTTTTTGGGGCCAAGCCGCTTGAAAAAATGAATGCATAACATCTGTTGCATTGGATGCGCGTCATTGCCAAATTTGAAAAGATTTAACATATCTTTCTGCCATGCCCCACTGGTCTTTATGATGTGTTGAGACAAATGGTGTTTGGTGAGTTATCCTCTGAATGTTTTCAAAAAACAGAACACAATTATGATCGAAATGCACAGATCATCAGAACATATGGAGAGATTGGAGAGATGTGACCTGAACAAACGTGAGGCATGATTTGCAAAATCCGTGAGAACGAGTGGATGGTTGATGGGAGTGGATGGTTGGTGGACCTAACTTCATGCTGGTTCCTCAGCCAAAATGGCTGATGCAAAGAATCTGTGAAAAAACTCATGCTGAGATATCTTGGGAGATTTGGTCACCGGCAAGTTTTTTTTGGTATGGCCTTCCCCACCTTTTCTTGACATGTAAAAAGTGAAAAACGAAAACCATCACCCACCAGTTGGCCTCTATAAAATGAGATGCCTTGACCCCCCTACCAGGAAAGCAGAAACATGGAGCTTGGCTATAAAATCACAAAAAACCACTGTCTTCTATAAAATCACCTGGCTGGACGGTTCCAAAACCAGAAAGAAAACGTTTTCTGGTGAGCCTTGACCCCCTCCATGTTCCAGAGGAAAAAGGATCATAGATAGCAACCCTACGCTTTCCACAGAGAAAATTTGACACATAGAAGCTTTTACACGCAGCAAGCTTTTGCACAGAGAAGCTTGTACACGCAGAACCTTTTACACAGAGTTAGGGAAGCTGTTATTCACAGCAAGCTTTTACACAAAGCAAGAGTTTGTACACAGCAAGCTTTTACCAGATTTTTTTACACGCGGAAGCTTCTACACAGAAGCCTTTACACAGAGAAGCTTCTACACACAGCAGGCTTTGACACAAAGAAGTTCCTACACAGAAAAGCTTTTTACACACACAGTGTTTTTACACAAAGAAGCATTTACACAGCTTTTACACGCAGAGAAGCTTTTACACAGAGAAGCCCTTTCACAGAGAAGCATTTGCACAGAGAAGGTTTTACACACAGCAAACTTTTCCAGAGAAGCTTTTAATTACACACAGCAAACTTTTACAGAGAAGCTTTTAAACAGACAAGCTTTTGCACACCGAAGCTTTTACACAGCAAGCTTCCACACAGAGAAGGCCAGACACAGAGAAGCTTTTATTACACAGAGAAGCTTTTACGCACAGCAAACTTTCACACACAGCCAGCTTTTACACAGAAAAGCTTTTGCACACAGAAAGCTTTCACACAGAGAAGCCCTACAGTCAAACGACAAACTCATGCCTGACTCATGCCTGGGTCAAAACTTGCTAGTAAATCACCATGGAATCGCTGTTTCAAGAAACTCATGCCTAAGTCATGCCCAAATCTTAAAACTCATGATGCTAAACACAACCTAAACGCAAGATTTATTAACAATATGGAAAAGGTACTCTTGATGCTAAACACAACCTAAACGCAAGATTTATTAACAATATGGAAAAGGTACCCTTGATGCTAAACACAACCTAAACGCAAGATTTATTAACAAAAACTATTCCAAAGACCAAATCCAACAAAAAATTGCAATTCCTATGCGTTTTATACTAAAAAGGCACGACTTTTCAAATCAAGTGCTCCCCAGCTATTTACGATGATTTCCAAATTTTAGGCACGACTTTAGCATTCCACTGTAACACAGAGAAGCATTCACACAGGAGCTTTTACACGCAGAAGCCTTTACATACAGAAGCTTTCACACACAGCCAGCTTTTACACAGACAGCTTCTACACAGAGCAAGCTTTTACACAGAGAAGCCCTTACACAGAGAAGCTTTTACACAGAAAACTTTTACACACAGAAAACTTTTACACAGAAGCTTTTACACACAGCAAGCTTTTAAACTGAGAAAATCTGCTGACAAATCACTGTCGCAGCCTTGATGCAGCCACTCCAATACGATTTACGATGTCCAGCTGCAAAAGACAATAGTATTACGCACACAGCCGCGGCTCCAAGCAACCTTGGCGCAGCCATTACAATGCGCGACTTTTCAAATTCCGACAGTTGAAGATGTAAAAACGAAGCTTTTGTGCGAGATTTCCCTTAAAATCTGAAGGTGGAAGATGTGAAAACGAAGCTTTCTTGCGAGACTTCCTTCAAAAAGTGAAAGTAGCAAATGTGAAAACGAAGCTTTCGTGCGAGGCATCCTTCAAATTTTGAAAGGTCAATGTGTGAAAATTACGCCTGAATTGGCAGTTCCAATGCACGGCCGATCCGAGCATGATCCCGGTACAAACGAGCGTGTTCCGAAACCATCCGCCGGACAAGCTTCCCCATCCATCTTCCGAGATACGTTTTGTTCTGCAAAACGCAGCATTTGGTGCATCTACTATCTCTCAAAAACGGATTTCTTGCGAGACTTCCCTCAAAAAGAGAAAGCTGAAGATGTGAAAACGACGCTTTCGCGCAAGACTTCCCTCAAAGTCGGAAAGTTGAAGATGCCAAATTGAAGCTTGGCGGGTGAGATCTCTTGGCTTTTACGTCTCTTGGCTGTGAGATCTCCTGGCTGTGAGATCTTTTGGCTGTGATGTATCTCTTGGCTGTGAGATCTCTTGGCTGTGAGATCTCTTGGCTGTGGGATTTCTTGGCTGTGAGATCTCTTGGCTGTGAGATGTCTTGGCTGTGACATCTCTTGGTTGAGAGATCCCTTGGCTGTGAGATCTCTTGGCTGTGAGATCTCTTGGCTGTGAGATCTCTTGGCTGCGGGATCTCTTGGCTGCGAGATCTCTTGGGCTGTGAGATCTCTTGGCTGTGAGATCTCTTGGCTGTGAGGTCTCTTGGCTGTGAAATCTCTTGGCTGTGAGATCTCTTGGATGTGAGATCTCTTGGCTGTGAGATCTTTTGGCTGTCAGATCTCTTTGGCTGAGAGATCTCTTGGCTGTGGGGTCTCTTGGCTGTGAGATCTCTTGGCTGTGAGATCTTTTGGCTGTCAGATCTCTTTGGCTGAGAGATCTCTTGGCTGTGGGGTCTCTTGGCTGTGAGATCTCTTGGCTGTGAGATCTCTTGGATGTGAGATCTCTTGGCTGCGAGATCTCTTATGATCTCTTTTCTGTGGCGAATAGGTTTTTAAAAATCCGTAACTCGGAAGTTAGACCTTCAGACTTCCTTTGATAAATATATGCATGTATGGTATGTATGTATGCATATGTATGTGCAGTATCAGTATGTGCATGTATATATTATATTTGTATATATATAAGAAAGGGGCATGTGAACCAGGACCTGTGCAAACTGAGACCAGGACCTGTGGCCATTGGCTCAAATGGTTCAGTATGATTAGCGATCTAATGAGTTTACCAATCTATATAATGAGTCAGTCAGTGATCTAGTCGCCCATGTTATCATTCATTGATCTATATGGCAATTTAGTTGCCCCATTACTCAGTGGTGCCATGGCTTCATCAACCAGCTCCAGCTCCAGATCTCGAAGTAGGGGCAGAGTAGCTGGAACTGGGGGCACCTCTTATTGATTCAGACATGTTTTTATTTTTCGGGGTGGCAGCTCTTTTGAAATTAAGGTATTAATTTCAGGGGACTTGCTTACACTTGAACCCTACTCATTTCTAGGACGTGTGCGATGCTCTTCCTCGGGTTCAGATACAACGAAGACAGAGGAGGACGAGTACATGGAGGAATATTCCTATGACTCTGACCCTGGATCAGAAGTATCTATGAGCAAGCATGCAGACCCATATGGAACAGCATTGCGGTCATTGTCACTGGGCTGCTCATATAGAGGTCCTTACTTTGAAATTCGTTTCCTCAACCTGCTACCCATCCCAAACACTTTTTTTCTTGGCAAGAAATGCATGAGTGCTCAAAGGCGTATGGATGATTTTCATCGCCCTGCTTTTGATCTCACACCTGCGCAAATGGCTCATCTA